GTGTCTTAGCCTGCCAGGATTGGTAAGAGATGAGAGGACTTGGTGATCTCATAATAGGATCCAGCTTTGATAAGACAGCATCAGGATCAAATGGATGTAGGCCTGAGCCTCTGAAGCCTCCCTGAATGTTCTCCTTTGTAAATGAGGCCTGGAATGCTATGCAGAAGGTAGCTAGGAAGTCCTCCTTCCTAATATGGAAGATATGGTTCCTAGTCAGAGCTTGGTTCTGTTTTGAGAAGGCTGTCTTGAGAGGGCCAAAGCAGCCAACATCTAGAGGCTGGAGAAGGTGTGAAGAATGTGGTGGCATCCAGAGGAGAATGATGTTGTTCTCCTTACAGAAAGATCTGAATTCCAGTGAAATATGGCTCTCATGGTTGTCAAGAATCAGTAGCCTTTTACTACCCATTGTCTTAAGTCTGGTATGCTTCTCAAAGTGCTGAATCCACTGTGGTCCAAGCTGATTTGTAGTCCATCCATTTGAGCTAACTGCAATCATCCAGGTTGGAGGCAGCTGGTGAAACCAGGTATAGTTGAATTCTCTACCCTTCAAGATGAGAAAGGGTGGAATCAGAGAGCCATTTGCACAGGCACCTTGGACAAGTGTGACCCACTCAGTGTTGGTTGGCTTGACTTGCTTTGGCTTGCCTTGCCTATCCATAGCTGTAACCACCTTTGAGGCAGAGATCTCTCCCATTTGAAAGCCAGTCTCATCAAAGTTGTAGGTGTCTTCAGGTAGGATGCCATATTTGTTGATTGTGTTTCTCACAAGTCTGAACCAGTCCTGAATTATCTCTGGATCTTCACATAGCCTTCTCTGGCATTCATATGTCCTTCCAAGTTTGATAGATAGAGCTGGTGTCCTTTGAATAAACCTATATGTCCAGTTGACTCTAGTACTGGCTGCTCCTCTTGCTTAAGTGATTGAATCTGCCATCTCTTTCACAATATTGATTGTTAGTGATAGTCCTTGAGAATCCAGCTTAAGTATCTCTCTGACTAGTACCTCCTCTTCAGCCTGTGTAAGGTTCTTATTACGTGGTGTAAAACACTCTCTTGAAATTCCTCTATTGACTCTTCGGGTAAGGGTAGCTTTTAAGATGTTGAAGGCCTTCGCAGCAGCCGAGATAGAAGAAAATTGATGCGATTCGATAGCAGACATGGCAAGGAGTATATTGCCTTCGTTAGAGCTGATTTGAGTGCGTTGTGGTGACATTGTCGCGTAGTGAAGATGAGATGTATGGATTTTGATAATTCGCGTCTCACGCCCTGGTTTGTCTCACGCCCGGGTGGGGCGCGCTAGAGCTAAGATATGGGATCAAGAGTGTCCCTAAGCGGTGAGGAGACCCTGAGTATGATCAATCACACTCTCCCAGCATCTACTCCCGGCCACACTACTGGTGAGTATAAGCTGACGTCACAGTGACAGCCACAAACTACCTGCATAATAGTGGGCTCGAAATTTCAAGAACTGGAGCCACTGGGGGTCGTTAACGTTCGTCGGTGAATGCAACTCCCTGAGACCATATTCGGCGGCAGCCGAATCAAGTGCCCCTGGCAAATTCCGCTCAAAGTAGCACGATTGCAACACTCATCTCTGGAGGCTTGGTGGTTCCGAGCAAGAATCAGGCTGATAACCTCATATGGCAACGTTCGCGCACTGACCTGAGACGCACGCACGCGGCGTCCCAGCTCGCGGAGACATAGCCGGAAGGACTCCCGCTGATCAGAGAAGTCGCAATATCGGGTTTAGATGCGTAGTTAGGGCAGGATGACGGCGCGAGCGGAGAAGGCTTAGGGTAAAAGTGGGGGTGGGGGAAGGATGCTGGTTGCTGGAGCTGAAGTAGAGCGCCTCACCCACGGGCGGCGAACAACCAGATTGTGGCGTCAAACTCTGTGCTCCTTCATAAGCTACCCATCCTGTTTCCGCACGTACCACAGGCAAGCAACATGCCCGCGTGCACGGCCGCCCACCGCCTGGCGCTTGTGGTGCGTGTTCATTTCGGCGGTGCTTCGACATGGCCTGAGATCCATCAATGTACGCCCCGTGGATGCGCTGAATGAACGTGC